TTCGTCTACCTCTTGGCCTTCGACCCTTGCTGCCTGTATATCCTGCACTCCGTCGTGTGCTATCGTGTGGTAAATAACCTTTTCATCCTCTGTTCAGGCACTTCTGGCTGGCCGTGTATCGGTACCTGGTATCTCCTCTTCTCTTTCGGAGTCACTTGAAATACCGGCAGTTCGGTAAACCCTGGGGCGAAATTGTCTCTTGACTCTCGACACACTTACTGGCTTCCTTATGCAATTCCTGCAGGGCTACTTTCGTATTCTTCTCTTTCTGGTTCCTGTTCCCTTGTACCGGTGAAGCCGCGACTCTCCCGGGACGTCTGGGTACTCTCTGCGTCGCGACGCCAACCACGGCCAAACGACTCGACCCTCGTGCTTCGTACCGATTCTGTCACTCGCCAGGGTCAGCGAGAGCTTGACTGCTGTTACACTTTGGATTTGTTAATTTACTTTCAGCTCTTCTCCAATTTAACCCAGGGAGTGGTGGTGGGGGGTGGGGGGGGTTACAGGGAGACAATAAATTTTTTTGATGCGTTGAAGAAAATTTACCGAAGCGTAAAGTTTGATCTGTTCTTCGCCCCTTCTACTCCGTTAATCGGTCTGGTGATTGGGTAAGAGAAAAATATGTTTTACAAAAATAAAAAATAAATGAATTGCCTAGAAACTCGTTACGGGATGAATGGAATCGCAGAGACCACCTTTCGTCGAGAGGGTTAAGAAGAAATAAGAAAAATAAAATTGTCCTTACCTAATTACAGGGGGTGATTTGACGCGTAATCGCTGCCTCGAAACTAATGGCGTCAAGAAGCCATTATCGGGTGTTCGTACACGTAAACACACGTGCTGTATGCGTGTTCATCTATGTACGTAGGGTATAGGGGCTGAAGCCCGACTTAATAACGTGGTAGGCACTGTTCCACGAAGCTTTATTACGGCTTGGCGTGTTGTTCGAGTCCCTGGAAAGTTTTGGCGGGGGTGAATTTTCAAGGTTCCCCACGAATTTATAGAGAAACGTACAGACGCGTTATGTTATACGTCGTTGTTGAAAAGAAAAAAGTAAATTATTCCCGTT